CCGTGGAGGGTCACTGCATCCATGGATCGCAGCAGCGGCGTCTTCTCATCGATGCACTTTCCGAAGTGCGTCACGAAGGCGCACGGGATGTACAGGCACTTGTCCATCACGAAGGGAGGCGAGGACCGGTCCCAGGTGGTGAACGCGGCTGCGGAGTGGGTCACTCGCAGGCCTCCGTTCGGAAAAGAGGAGCCGTCAGTCTCGCCCTGGAAGAGCCGCTCCGCTGGCAAGCAGGCCTTCATGGGCTTCGTGGTGAACTTCGAGCCGAACTCCAGGTCCATGAGGGTGTCCTTCTTGAAGGCTCCGAGCATGCCGCCGACGGCGCCGCCTCCACCACGGAGGGGGAAGAACCAGTGCGCGAAGTCGATGGCGCCACGCTCGCGAGCCCATGTATACATAGTATCAGCAATCACCTTCATGTCTTCCTGCGATCGATTTCAAGAAATCGACTTGGCATCCGAACCTTTTGAAGTTAGTATCCTCAGGATGCCTTTGGGTCGATAGGGGGTTCCACGGCCCTAAAGTCACAGCCTAGTCGATTGGCTTAGCATCATATCGGTATATCACTTTGTATCGGCGAGGATGGGCGATGCAGTGCTTTCGGTTGACGTCTACAGGGTCCTCCGGAGTTGGTGCGCCGCTCACCAGGCACTCGTTGAAGCGCTGCACGACGGCCGCCGGGAGCTTAGCCGCCATGACGGCGTCATCGAACATGCAGGTGCCCATCGTCGTGAGCGCATCGGATGCCATGACTACAACTGGAGATTATGATCACGAGCCTAACAACAGGGGTTTTGAGCCGAGACTGACAGACAATATGGACATCTCTCTTGGCATAGCAGTAACCCTGCAGCAATCTCTTGGTTCCGCGTTAGGCAGCAGCCCATTGCAGACGCGGATTATGTTATATCAGACAATACTATAACATAATCTTTTGCATTATGCTATTACATGGAACGGTACGTTGTATTCTGGAAGAAAGAATGCAGACATAGAATGTAGGACATAGGATATAGAACACAGAAAACGGAACATAGCATGTAAGAGCATAGAGAACATGAGAAAAAATCGAAGATAGAGAACACTCAAAGCATAGAAAACATCAAATATTATGTACAACATGTAGCGCGCTCGATCGACGCAACGACAGCTGCAAGCCAAACCCGGGCAACTTGTCCACACGGCAAGGTGATACGTGGGTAAATTGTCCTAGGTCCTACATGCCCCCACAGAGACGTTAAATCGCGTGACTCTCCAAGCCACCAAAATCGAAAACGAAGATTACCTCGCGACAGCAAGAGCTGTCATGGCAAGGGTGGGAGCAACTGAAGACAGGGTCGGGTAAAGAGTACATTGCCTCTGGCTCAGAAGTGGTGGGAGTAGATCATGGCCTCGTAGGTGGGGTAAGGGTAGAGAGATGCCTCCATGACGCTCTCTGCCTTGTCCACCTTGGCACGGAGTGCCACCATCTGCGGCTTCACGGTGTCGCACAGGTAGGTGGCCTCCTCTGCCAGCGAGGTGTGCGGCTTGGCCGCGATGACGGACTTCAACTTCTCCAACTCGTCGACGATGCTGTCGTAGATTGACTTGCGGCTGCCGGCGAGCTTGTCGAAGCCCTTGAACTTCTCAAGGTCCTTGGCGCAGGCTGGCAGGTAGCCGGTCTCCACCATCTGGATCATCGTCTCGACCTCGCAGCACATGCAGGAGATGTAGTTCTCGTACATCACTTCCTGGCGTGCCTCCGTCTCCTCCTTGGTGTAGATCTTCAGCGTCTCGAGGAGCTTGGTGTTCTTCTCGGAAGCCCAAGTGGCAATGGCCTTGGGCGTGGTGTTCAGATTCGGCAGTCCTCGCTTGCTTGCCTCGACAGGCCATTCCGCCGAGTAGCCGTTTCCGGTGAAGATGACGTGCTTGTTCTCAGTGTAGATCTTGGCCACGGCATCACGATGGCTCATGCCACCCTCAATGATGCTGGAGAGGTGTGCCATGCCCGCAGACATGATCGCATTGCAGACCATCAGCGGGAGGCAGCAGTTCTGGGAGGAGCCGACAGCACGGAACTCGAAGCGGTTGCCACAGAAGGGGAACGGGGCAGTGCGGTTGCGGTCCTCCACGTTGGCCTCAATGTGCATGGCAGCGCTGCAGCCGGTCTCCTGCTTCTTCTTCTCAGCCTTGTATCCGAGCAGGTCGCCGCCGGAGCAGATGCTCTCGACGAAAGCCTCGAAGCCCTGACCTGGGTACAGAGAGATGATGGCAGGAGGAGCCTCCTGCGCACCAAGGCGGTGATCGTTGCCAGCGCTGGCCACGGTGCAACGCACCATCTCGTTGTACCTTTATAACCGGAAGGATGGTTCGGGGGGAGTGAGGCAAACAACAGCAGCCTAAACCAGGGTGGTGACGACGCCTGGTCGAAACTACGGAACCTTTCACCGACGTCTATGCAGATCGCAGGATCACAGAGCTTACGGCCTATTCTGGACATCCACGGTACTGTGCAAGGCCGTAGGACAGGCAGGCAATGGCGGTCACGTAGAGCTTGGCGCCAGCCTCGTTCTTGCCTGGGTAGAAGAAGTTCAAGCCGGTGTCGGTTCCAATGGACCAGTTCGCGTGCTTGCCGCTGCCGTTGATGCCGGCGAAGGGCTTCTCGTGGAAGAGAACCTGCAGACCCAGATTCGCGGCTTCCCGGTTCATGACCTCCATGAAGCACACGTTGCTGTCGCAGGACACGTTGGCAGTACGGAAGACGGGGGACATCTCGTGCTGGCCAGGTGCCACCTCGTTGTGCTTCACCGCCATGGGGCAGCCGATCTTCAGCATTTCCGCCTGGAGGAAGGCAGTGAATCCAAGAATTAAAGCAACTTTACGCCTGAGCGGATTGCCCTGCATCCGACCGTCTTGGACCCGTTTAGGCCCAGCACAATTAGTTGAAGATTTCACTGACCCTTGAACCGTGCGGGACGCTCTGCTCCACGCCAGGCCTGCTACTCAAACGGCACAATCAAATCAGGATTTGCTTGTTTCTCCTGAAGCAACCCCAAGCCGAACAACAAATCAATCGGGACTTCATGGTTCTAAGACTACACCAGACTAGGCGAGACTGGACTACGCCAGACTGGACTGAACTGGACTGGACTCCCACGTCACTCCAAAGTCCTCAACCTGAAAGTGCAGGAGTCGTAAGTAGAACAGTACAACATAGCTCAACACTCGACAAAGTCTTGGATGGAGTGTTTCCAGTAATGGGTGCGACCGGTCCTTGTAACGATCTTCTTATTTATAGAAGCTTTACTTCGAACCTGACAAGGACCATACCATGAAAAACAAATACTAAATGTGGTATCCCGGTAGCGACTTGGCACAGGTCTCTAAGCAGATTCTGCTAGTATGCAGCGAGACAGTTGCGTCCTGATTTACCAGCAGTTAAAACCTGATTTATTTGTGTTACCAAGTAAGCAAGATTTATACTTGTTTACCTTCTTCAGTCATTGGTTTTCTCCGCCTGGACGTTGTCCAGCAGCTGCTGCACGCTGCCGGGGATCGCCTGGAAGTAGTTCAAGTCTCCCTGCTGATGACGGGTAGGCAGCTTGCCAAAGAGCGTGCGGCCGGTGTTCACCAAGTCGGGGCGTGCCTTGTAGTGGGCGGCGCTCAGCACGAAGAACTCCTGCTCCCATCCCAGGTAGCTGAACATGCACTTGGCATCGGTGCCGATTCCAATGTTCTTCAAGAGGCGCAGGCCGTGGAGGGTCACTGCATCCATGGATCGCAGCAGCGGCGTCTTCTCATCGATGCACTTTCCGAAGTGCGTCACGAAGGCGCACGGGATGTACAGGCACTTGTCCATCACGAAGGGAGGCGAGGACCGGTCCCAGGTGGTGAACGCGGCTGCGGAGTGGGTCACTCGCAGGCCTCCGTTCGGAAAAGAGGAGCCGTCAGTCTCGCCCTGGAAGAGCCGCTCCGCTGGCAAGCAGGCCTTCATGGGCTTCGTGGTGAACTTCGAGCCGAACTCCAGGTCCATGAGGGTGTCCTTCTTGAAGGCTCCGAGCATGCCGCCGACGGCGCCGCCTCCACCACGGAGGGGGAAGAACCAGTGCGCGAAGTCGATGGCGCCACGCTCGCGAGCCCATGTATACATAGTATCAGCAATCACCTTCATGTCTTCCTGCGATCGATTTCAAGAAACCGACTTGGCATCCGAACCTTTTGAAGTTAGTATCCTCAGGATGCCTTTGGGTCGATAGGGGGTTCCACGGCCCTAAAGTCACAGCCTAGTCGATTGGCTTAGCATCATATCGGTATATCATGTTGTATCGGCGAGGATGGGCGATGCAGTGCTTTCGGTTGACGTCTACAGGGTCCTCCGGAGTTGGTGCGCCGCTCACCAGGCACTCGTTGAAGCGCTGCACGACGGCCGCCGGGAGCTTAGCCGCCATGACGGCGTCATCGAACATGCAGGTGCCCATCGTCGTGAGCGCATCGGATGCCATGGCTCAGAGTGCGGAAGACGAAAAGCCAGGGCAGAAGATAGGGAAAACTAGGGAGCCAACGCTTCCAACCATGCATGTGGCAGGACGCTCAAGGATCATTGTAGCATAATGCAGCACTGAGGTCGAAGTGACTCAGGCAAGAGAAGACAGAAGAGTAACCTGAAGACTTGCCGTGGGCTGCCAGGGCTCTTCTGATTCTGCGGCCATGGGAGGAAGCAGCTGCTAAGTCCATTTGCCCACACCGTCCATCGCGCATGGACGGGGTTGGGTGCTACTTTGTTTGACGGCTGAAGTGCATCGAATCCACCTTTCAGAGGAAGTCTCAGTGCTGTCCGGGAGTCTGAATTGAGACACTAGCTACCATGGCCCTCGCTCAGGCACACGTCAAACCACATCTAAGACCGGTGTGGCGCATGCAGCCAGAGTTTTGAGCTCCGATCACAGATCGCTGCAAGCGTCAACTGCTAGTCTTCTCCGACCCCACACAAGAATCACACCTTTCCGATCTTGGCCAGCTGCTGTGAAAGCGTGCCTACACGCCGGACCCGGTATCGGGGCATCACCTCAAGCAGTGCCAGGCACAAGACGGGAGTTGCCGGTTTGATTGCACAATGAACCTCTCCGATGGCACCCTGAAACTGTCGCAGGACCCTTGACACTTCACGCGTCAAAGGTGTTCTGGGAATATCTAGTGACATGTGCGTTTGTCAAGACTGTGTCGGACCTTCATGGAGCTAGTTGCATGTCTTGTGGAACATAGCCAGCCCAAATGTACTCGTGACACGAGAGACTCTTTACATTGTACTATATATCACAGTATATTACGTGATAAGTTCCCAGCGGTGATTTGCCCACCCTGATTGGATCCATAGGTGGTCAGATCCAGTACCTGACGGAGCACGGAGTGGTCAAACTGCCAGCCTAGGCTGTGCTTACAGCAGTAGACCAGGCGCCGTAGTCCCAAAATCACTCATGAGCGACATCGGGCGCGCCTGAAGCACGGTACCCACGTCTTCCAGCAGAGATGCCTCAGAGGCCAGGCACCCCCAGGGTGCTAGATCCTGCTGTGATGGGATCTCTTCAATGGCTGAGCTCCTGCTGCACGGTGAAACTCCAAAGCATGATGTTTAGTTTAGTCCTTCCTCGCGGAGATCTACGATTGACGGAGGGTCCCTCTCGAAGTTCCCCTCCGGAAAAGCGAGGAGCTCGGATGATCGCGTGATATCGCAAGCGACCCGGAAACATGTCTAGCAAGAGCGGGCTACCCTAGCAGCAGCCCGCGGAAAAGCACTTGCTCCGGCTGCTTGTTCAGCTTTCCAGAGCGTTGTTTCTGTACATCTGGGGATTGTTCAACCAGGCGCAGTTGCCCGGCCCTGACTACTGGCACAGGGAAAAGCGGAAGCGTCCGGCTGTATGGGGACGCTCCGCAGAGTGCGGGCATGCGTTGAGCAGAAGCCTCGTGTTAACGTCCGTTGGGACGTCGCAGATCGGCAACGGTCTCTTTCTGGACCAAGTGGCCAATCTGCACGGACCTGCTCACAACCAACCGGCGGCCACAGCCAATTTCTTCTGCCTCCACTGCAGGAACAACAAGCACATCTGGGTGGTTGTCAAAATCAGGGTCCCTTTTTGGGTCCTAATAGTACGGCACCTAATATTTCATTAAGGTACCCAAAAAAGGACCATAATTTTGACAACTACCCATCTGGGTCAATGTCCCGAGCCTCAGCTCCTCGTCCAGGCGCAGCAGTGCCTGCCCGGCAGCATCCTGCCAAACTGCTTAGCAAAGAGGATCCAGTGTAGATGTTATGATAACGATAGCAGGTCTTGCTGCATTACGAGGTTGAGGACACAGGGTCTGGGAGTCCATCAAAGACTGCAGACTTTGGCTTTAGCGTATAACTTGGGAAAAACGTGCAGAATTCGTTGTGAAAATGTGTAGAATACGACAGACCCAGTCTTTGCTCGATTTGGGTTGCTAGTTTGTGGTCACCTGGTAGTCATATTCGGAATCGAAGTGCTACTACGCCTCTCAGCATGCATTAAGAATCAGATTGTAAAAAGCACAACGGCTCTGGAATGCCGAGGTCTTGAACGTGATGCAGAATCATGCAAGTCTTTCAGGCTGCTGCTGCTGTTGCTGCTGAGAGTCATCTACAGTATGGAAGTCAAGGCCCCTGGAACGATGCAACGATCCCAAGGCAGCAAACCGAAGATGCAAACTCAAGGCTCATACCGCCCCCACCAGCCCGTGGTAGAAGAAGGAATGCTTCAGGTCCTGATCGTTGCCCACTCCATCGGACTTCCCGAAGAGGGAAGTCTCTAGGTCTCGAAGTTGCTGCCAGAAGCCCGGGTTGGGACGGATGAAGTCCTTATCAAAGGAACACTGCAATGTTCACTAAGGAAGCTTCGATGCTCAGCTGAGCGGCCCTGGCGGTGAAGACACGGCGGAAGGCGGCTTCCAGGGACAAACCCTCGCGAATCATCAGGTACGCGAGGCACGTGCTCGCTGACCGGCTGACCTTGTCAAGCTCATGGTAGCCCCTGCTCAAAATGGGAGTTTCCCAATAAACTAGGAGACCCACTATAGCACCCTAAATAGTAGGATCCCTACTTTCGGAAACTAATGCAGCAGGCAAGTCACGCCCTGGGCGCAGTGCACAGCCACACAACCACCCTCACGGAGCACCTTGTCCAAGAACTCCACCGAACGAACCCAAAGGTCACGCATGGGCTGCTCCTTGCGACGGGTAAACCAAACCGCATTGCATGAACGGCAGCAAGTCCCCGTACCCACCCAGATCCAGAAAGCCTCTCAGTGCTGCACACCACATAGCCTGAATGTGTTGTACTACTGCTATCACCTCTCATGTGGCATAAGTCCTTGGTCGTGTTTCTGCTGTGTCCGCCGCTGAAGTTGTTGCTGTGGAGAGTTGAGTATAGTTGTAGTTCTTGTCGCGGTATTGGTGGATAACTGGTTGCCGCAGTAGTCCACTGCCGTCTCGACTTTGCACAGTCATCGTCTTCGATTCTCTTTCGGGACGACATTCAAGTCGCGCTTGTTCAACATTGTTTAGGATATGTAGCACCGTCTGGCGGGAGTATAGTCTGTAGTATTGTTTCTGAGTGGAGGGACGTGCAAACGCACTGATACCTTTGTTTCCTTGCTGTTCTTCTCACAATGCTAAAACTGGTGGTGGACACGCTGTTGATCGTGGCGACGTTCTGGATGATGACGACTGGTAACGATGCTCGGGCTGCTACCATAAGAAATGCTTTCCAAAGCACAATCCTGACTATCTGATTGAACCCGTGTTGCCGAACCAGGACAAAAAGTTGATTTGTACTGCTGCTTCCCTACTAGTACTACCATACTTGTCTTATGCGCATGTGAACCTAAGCAGCATTATGACTGTGGCATTGCTGGGGTTGTCGTCGCCATCATAATCCATACTCAGACGCCGCCATCCTTTCACAAATGGTATTGCAATCTTCACTCGCGTATGCTGCTTGGCAATGCTGCACCACGACTGCTGACTATCTCCCCATGGGCTTGCCTGGAACCGAACGCATACTAAATATTGCCAAGATGACAGCTTTGCAATATGGTTGCCCTAGTTCGGCAGGCATGGAAATGTGAAGCAAAACTGTGTTCCCCGACCTCAATGTCTTCCGCCTCGAGCACCTCAATCTCGTAGCCATCAAGCCGCATGCGCAAGGGCACTCCCTCAGAGTAGGATCCTTGGCTAGAGTTTGGGATTTAGGGTATCCTCTACTGGAGGATCCTGCCGCCACACTGCCTAAACCCTACATAAACAAGCAACAACCAAACTAGTCGTAGTAGTACTGTTAATGCTACTAACCGCAATCATAAGAAGAATACCAACAAGTATGATTATCACAGTAACAGTAATAAGAAGAAGAAGCATTACAAGAATAAGGACAATAATAGCGGTAGTAGTAGTAGTAGTAGTAGTAGTAGTAGTAGTAGTAGTAGTAGTCGTAGTAGTAGTAGTAGTAGTAGCAGTAGTGGTAGTGGTAGTGGTAGTAGCAGTAGCAGTAGCAGTAGTAGTAGCAGTAGCAATTAGCAATCATAAGATACGACTGAGAATAGTAATAACAACAATAACAGCACGACAGCTTCATAGTAGCGGTAGTAGTAACAATATTGACAGTAATCATAATGACAATAAAAAGGCACTAGTAATAATAATCATAATAGTAATCACACCAGTCATCATAATCGTAATAGTAATAGCAGTTAACAATCGCAACAACAAAAATACTTATGCCTTCTACTTCTAAAGAAAAGACGCATGCTAGTAGCAATAATAATGACCATGGTCCCCTGAAACAGGGACCCTGTATGAAAGGTCGGCTGTACACGAGAGATACAGGGCTCAAGGCCTAGTAAGGACAAGAACAGTGGTAATCGCAATAGCAATAGGACAAGTAGTAGTAATAGTAGCAGTAGTAGTTACAATCATAATCATAGGCAAACCAACCATAATAAGAGTAAGATGAGTAAGAACAATAAAAGAGAGCAATAGTAAGAATCATAATAGAAGTAATCTTCACATTCCAACAGTAATCATGAAAAAGTAACAGTAACAATACTAATGTTAACACTAGGAATCATGTGAATAATTCAGCCTCGGGTCGGTTGTACAACTCATCCTTGGCGCAGTTCAGGATCCCTCGGATTCCCAAGCGCTCGAGCTCGGCCTGTCCAGACGGGGCCAAAGAGAACCAAGAGGCTCTAGTCTACTCAAAGGATCATGGGACTTAGTAACTAGGGTTATAATTAGGGTAACTATACTTATAACCCCAATTAAGGTACTTATAACCTTATTTACTAAGTCTCATGATCCTCCAAGTAAGGCCTACAGTAGGTTCTTTTTTGTTGAAGGCCCTTTTCCTCCCTCCTACAGTAAGTTTAGGGTTTCGGGCTTTTCTTATTGAGCCCTCTTTTCTGGTAAGGAGTTGGCATGCCGCAGTTGGCTGAAAGGGGGTTAGGAAGGGCCGGCCGAAGGGATTCACCACCTGAACCACCATTAGCAAGTACTAGCCCCTCCTCCCCTGAGGGTTTAGGGTTTAGGGCTCAGGCAAAGGAAGACAGATGACTATTGAAATACTGTGATGACGATGATAGAAGGAGTCACGAAGGCTTCTGTGGGGCATGTTTGGAGAATGACAGTCGTAAAAAAGGAATGACAAGTGCAAACACGTCTTCGGTCTCTAGGCCTTGTTCTCCAGGGCGGCTGCCCCACAAAGGAACAGCCCGCTCCCGATGTCATCAATGCGTCTCCAGGGCGTGGATGGTTCTCCTAGGGCTGAACATCTTCAGGACCACTGTTGTCGGGCCTTTCGGTCGTGGCGATGCCAGCACTTGCGGTACAGCACTGATGCGTCGAAGCTTTGACAGCTCTCAGTCCTTCGGGCGTGGGCGGAGGTGGCTGTGGTGCCTCCTGCCAAGGCACGCACTACAACAAATCAGGCAAGAAGTTGCTGTTGGGGCATGCTTTGCAAGGACGGGCCAGAGAATCACATGAACCGGCCAGCCGCTTTGCAAACGCCCAACACTCATGCATACACTCCCTCTGAAATCTGGAGAGCTCCTGCTTCTTGGCAGCGGCGGCGGCCTTCCAGAGAGCTTCTCTAAGGAGTTACCTTCCTCTCAGAATTCGCCATAGACGTGTAACTATACGGGTCTGCTGCCATCAACTTCTAGCAGCTATCATAAAACTAGCATGAACTTTCTTCAGAGGCACGGGAGATTTCCGGATGCTGCACAGCTTCATGGGGCTAACCACCAAAATCAGCAAATTTCAAATTATAGCTTCAGTGACTTCATAAGCTTTTAACTTTACGAATGCTAAGTTTACAGATTACAATATCCATGTGCAGAGAAGGCTTGTTCAAACACCCGGTGACGGCAGCGAATGGGCATGCTATCCATAGTGCACTGTGCTGGAAGACTAAAAAGGACCAGGACTGCACCGACACATAAGAGCATGAGACCTGCATCCCCGCTACTTGGAAACCCGGACACCGCTGCGAAGAAGCCCTGAAAACCCTCAAGCTTCAACTGCATGCAAGCCCCAGTTCGGCCTCACGGAGGAATGCCAGCGACATGGAACTTGGGCGGGGCCGCTTCTTCTCACACTCGAACGAATTGAACTTCGTTCTGGGCGCTGGGAGCCGAAAGCGGACCCCAAAGCTGTCAGTGCCAAGCGCTGCCACAGAGCTGATCTCTGAAAACGTCCTGACCCTGCCCATCATCGGTAGCCTGCCCTTTTCGCTTGAAACCTCCATGTACCTCTCCAGAGTTGGCTGTCGTTACTAGTATGCAAACGTCATTCGCATTCCGGTTCAGCCTATGAGCATGTCGAGATATAGTGCGAGACAGGAACACACAAGACCAAGCCACCAGCGCTAGCTATACGGCCGGCATCCCGCCGCAGGACCTTCATAGACTTGGAGTGTGAAGGCTACCCAGATTTCTATGAATATGTTTAATTACTCATCTTATCCGGCTATTCAGCCAGCAAGCTAGTCACTGTTTGCTAGCCAGGTCCGTGTATCTATCCACCTACCCACCTACGGCTTTTTCGGCTGCTGCAGCAACCGGCAACAGACCTAGAGAAAAGATAGTGGCATCTTGTCTAAAAATGGCTGTGACAGCTTGCACATGCCCAAATCGAAGCCTAAACGGCTCCCACACACGTGGACTCTGCTGCCTGGAATCTCTAAAACCGTGGAACTGAGGCTGCGAACCGAGGAATTGTCGCCTCCGGTGGTCGCGGAGGTCTCCATTCCCTCAAGTGGGTAAGTGCATCAGCAAAAAGCACAGGACACAAAAAGCCATACCCCCCTGCAGTTTAACCCAAAAGCCGGCAAAGTCCAGAAGTTCTTTCTGCAATGCTTCAAGCGTGACTGCCAGGCGACTTGGGCTGTACTCGGCCCGCCGCTGCGTGCTCTTTGGCCAGGAATCCGGTAATGTACTCGCCCTGGCAAAGAAACGAGACGAACAAGTCCAGGAACTTCAATGTGGACCTGAGTGAAACCTTCACACCCTTCTGACCGCCAGCAAACAGCTCCGAGATTCAAGCAAATTTTGGCAAGTGACGAGAACCTTCACGGAATGGACAAGCTCTGATTCTACGGAGCTACATGCACATAGCCTTCAATATAGAAGTGTCGGCAATGATGGATATCACCAATAATGAAATTCATCTGACATTTTGTTTGCGGGGGACAGGTCCGGCCTGGCCCTTGCTCCGCACGTTCTTCAGGATTTCTATCACCTCCGGCTCCCGCACCTGGGCGTGCGGACTTGCTCGAAGGTTTCAGCAGACAAGAACAACTCACACCTCTGGTGCCGACTGCAGATGGAGATTGCAAGAGACTATAGAGGGAGAGAATAAGATAAAGGTCGGGCTTGGGGCTTCAGGTTTGGGGGTGTCGGGGCCGAGGAACATTTCGTACAGACTGATGCAATTCTCAATGATATGCTGGCGATCGGGCATGTCATCGCACCGCATGGGACGTGAAAACTTGGTCCACTGCGCTGCGCCCATGGGCGAAACAAAAGGGACACTGACTGTCTAACAAGTCTGCTTGGTCAAATTCTCACAACCAAGAGTCGCTGAATGTCTTTGGACTCTAACTTGAGTGAACTCCCAATTGCACAATAAACCTGGCAATGCAACGTGCAAACCCCAAAAGAGGTCCCCTCACTCCAGCCTGCAAGACCTGCTTGAAATTGGGGAAGGCCGGCTTCCTTTCAGTAGGGCAACTCTTTGGTTCCAAGTTTAAGAGTCCAGGGAATGCTCTGTGCGTGGTGGTGGGGTGGTGGTGGGTAGTGGTGGGTGGTGGTGGGTGGTGGCGGGTGGTGGCGGTTGGTGGTGCGTGGTGGGTGGTGGTGCGTGGTGCGTGGGTGGTGGGTGGTGGGTGGTGGTGGGTGGTGGTGGGTAGTGGTGGGTGGTGGTGGGTGGTGGTGGGTGGTGGTGGGTGGTGGTGGGTGGTGGTGGGTGGTGGTGGGTAGTGGTGCGTGGTGGGTGGTGGTGCATGGTGGTGGGTGGTGGTGCGTGGTGGTGCGTGGTGGTGGGTGGTGGTGGGTGGTGGTGGGTGGTGGTGGGTGGTGGTGGGTGGTGGTGGGTGGTGGTGGGTGGTGGTGGGTGGTGGTGGGTGGTGGCGGGTGGTGTGGTGGTGGGTGGTGGTGGGTGGTGGTGGGTGGTGGTGGGTGGTGGTGGGTGGTGGTGGGTGGTGGTGGGTGGTGGTGGGTGGTGGTGGGTGGTGGTGGGTGGTGGTGGGTGGTGGTGGGTGGTGGTGGGTGGTGGTGGTGGTGGGTGGTGGTGGGTGGTGGTGGGTGGTGGTGGGTGGTGGTGGGTGGTGGTGGGTGGTGGTGGGTGGTGGTGGTGGTGGGTGGTGGTGGGTGGTGGTGGGTGGTGGTGGGTGGTGGTGGGTGGTGGTGGGTGGTGGTGGGTGGTGGTGGGTGGTGGTGGGTCAAGAGATTGTCGCACGGACCTCTTCCAGAAAAGCGATATTGACTGCAAAGGGGCCATCACCCTACATCCAAGAAAGCATCATGTGCCTGAAGAGGGGCAGCACCAGCAACGCCTCCCACGACAAGCGTCTTCACAAACATCTCCAGTTCTCTTTCCTAGATCCTTGCACTCTGATCACAACGCAAGCCCGCTGTTTCCGACCTTGGGCACGCCCTGTCCGGGGCCACCGCTGCCAGCCTTATTGAGGCAGGTCACGGGACTTTGCAACCATGAAGTCATAACACTTCGGCACTCAAGGCTACGCAGCTACTAGTACAGGCATACTCCACGCATGCCTTCAATGCTGCCGGCACCAGCAACGATCACTGAAGTTCTTCTGCAAGTGAAGGCGACACGCCGACAATGAACTCCTTAATCCGGTCCTGCCTCCTTGGGTGGCGATGTGGCTTCTGCACTTGGCGCCCTCGGTTGCCCAGGAAGATGCTCGAAAATCTAACAGGTATGAGAACCAGTTCTTTGCTCTGTGACTCGCATTTTGATTTTGGGTTTAACAGTTCATCACAACGCCTGAAACAAGTTGGTCCCCCTTGCATTAAGGGCTTGAACGAGCCCATGTGGGTCTGCCTGCATGCATCTCAGCACCCGTCTACGCAGGTCGTCACGTGCGTTTGCATGCTTTCGTGTGACTTGCCTGGTCCACATAACGACAATACACATCTGGTTCGCTTATTGTTATGAAGGTGTCACAACCTCAAGTTTGTTATCTATCTGCTGCCTGATACAGCATGGTGTTCGGATTGTCCGCCACCTTCATACATGTGCTGTAACAAACATCCAGAACACAAAAGTGTTGCGACCAATGTTATCTTCGTTATCCCGCAACATGTACTGCAGTCCAAAAGTAGCAGCACCCAATCAAGCCAAGCACCTGTAAAATTGGGCTCTCATCCGGGCGCCGGACTCGTCTGCTTTAGCTTCTTGCTTCACTGCAGCCTAGTGCGACACGAGACGGACCACGATCTCGGACCATGCATTCCAGAACGTTGGATTCCGCGAATGCGAGCCATCGTGCATGAGCCCAACGCTTCCTGAGCGCTCTTTGTCTTCTTTTCTAATCTCTACGAAACTGGAGCCTAGCTCTACAGAGAGACGCGATCTTTGCCTGCGCCTCTTTCGTCTTGGAGGCACGGCCGGCGAAGGCCCGAGCCTTGCGCCGAGGGATGAAGCACGGATTTGTCATTCGGACTCTTCGGAATTGGGATGGAGTTGCAAAACCAGGAAAGGCAGCAACGGAAATCATTACATCCGCGGCTTTGAAGCTCTCGAAACTGGGCGACACTATGCGGTGCGCTCGCACTCCTCGATGTATTTAGAACCTTCGACAGCGACTCCAAAACAACAAATTCTGAAAATTCTCTTTGACTCCGGACCTGGCGTACTTCTGTTGGTCTCAAGAAAACACGCAGGTTTCAATGCCCAAGGTGTGAATATGCCTGTAGCTTCGGGCTGCATTGACCATTCATCCACCTTGCTGCCTCCGAAAACCGACATTGAGCACGGCTGCCAAAGAGCCGCGACCCTGAAGCATTGAAATTGCTCAAGTTTTGCTGCAAAAGTAAATTGACCGTGATGAAGAAATGCCTTGCCCAACTCAACTTTGGGATTCATATAAAGATTAAGTTGGCGTGGACTCACATACACTGCGGCTTGCTGCTGCATTGCAAGTACCGGCTGCAGCTGCTGAAAGCAGCTGGATGTGCGAGCCTAAAGCTTGCTGCTACGTGCGACGTCCGATAATGCATTCTGCATTGTTAAAGCGTAGGCTAGGATCTGCAGTAGTTGGACGTCCAGGTCATAATTTGCTACATTGCAACATCTGATACGAAGCGTTTCAGTCCGTAGTATGTGGGTGGTTGTCAAAATTAGGGTCCCTTTCGGGGGTCTTAATATGATACGGCAGCTATTATTTAAGAAAGGGACCGTAATTTTGACAACTGCTCATGTGTATTCAAGGCCTTATTGTGCATCATGCCATATTTCAACCGACAGCAACAAACTGATAGCCTGATGCAAAACCAGAACCGCGGGGCATAAACATGCCGTGAAACCCAAATTGGAAATATCCTTGGGTTACTTTGCGTACCCCGCCATTCTCGGAAAGCAAGTCTGAATTTGTTTCTTCTCAGCTGCGCCGCAGGTCCGCCCAAGACTCCTCGAGCACGTTCTCCGTCGACTCGTCTCTCGCATTTGGGCCCTTTGGCGACCAGCTGCCGGAGCAGAGCCGTGGTCGCGACACGCTCTGCCGCACCTCTCCTTCCTTGCACTTTTTTCCGGAACTCCAAGCTCTCCTTCAATCAAGGGCTTTGGCACGGCCGTTTTTGTACGGATGACATCTGCCTGGTAAGACTCGCTGCTTTCACCCCAAGCTGCTGCAAGCGGCACCCACACACGCAATACAGCAGCGCGAATGCGCCCACGACCTTGTCGTACATGACGATACCAGGAGTGGAGGTGGTACTTCGCGGAGCTGCTGTCTTGAGTCATGGGCATGATTTGTACGATACTGACACGACTTCCTGGGTCGATCGTTGGACCTGAACGCATGCTTGAAGGCAAACCTGCAATCTGCGCCGGGAACGACTTGGTCACGATAGGCGAAGCAGCCACGTGCTCATCTTCTCAAGTTGATTTGTTCAACACGAACTTTGAGCGTCTGGCCCCTATCCAGACTCCAACCCGAGAGTTTTTCGCTCATGCAATCGAAAGCACCCGAAGCAATGCCAGATGCTGCACCAGGGTTCAGGAGACAGGGTTTGAGGGTTACGGCTACATTGGACTACAAGGGTCATGGAAAGAAATGCCTCGAATTCTAGTAAACCTCACACAGCGTTTGTAAACTCCTGTATGTTCCTCACATGTGAAAACCCTAACTTAAGCAAAAAACTCCAGACCCTAAACCTCCAAAAACCCTAACCCCCTCCACGCTTCTTCTTCTTCTATGGCCGAAGAACAAGAAACCCCCCTCCCCATGTTTGTTTCTGGAACCCGAGCTTCACCACAAGCTGGCCCAGCCTCCCAGCCCGGAGACCAAGTCCGAGACAAGCTCGGCCTGAGGCTCATGCGCGCTTTAGCGTGTAGGGCTTTCGGGGTTGAGGCTTTTGGGGTTTAGAGTTTAGGGGTTTAGGGTGATTTAGGCTTTTGTGGCTCGGGGCTTTCGGGGTTTGGGGAAGCTGCAGTAAGCATCCTTCATGTCCAGCAGTCAGATACAGCATCTGCAAAAAGAGCCGAAGTGCCTGACGCACTTGACCAGCAAGTACTAAGTCCTCCTTTTCAACAAAAAACTATCAGACGATACAGAGTGGCCTGAGACGGTCAACGTCCTCGACAGTTGCGACTGCATGCTACCGAGGGGCGACCAGCAAATGCTCCAGGCACCACACGCACGCCGCGCGCCCACAGGCGCACGCTGTCTAAGCCTGAGGCGTCGAAGTTGTGCTGATGATGATCTCTATATCAACCAGCAACTTCACGAGGACGGCACACTAACATGACGGCGAAGACAGGCACGCAGGAAGAAGGCAATGGGCATACCACGCGGTATGCAAACCTGACGCGATAGCACGTCAACCAGTCTACAGCGAGTCAGCACAGCATGGCTGAGCGCAACCTGGACCTGGCCGCGAAGATCGGAAGGCAAGCGACCAACAGCTTGGCACAAGCAGCTGACTGAGCTTTGCGTGGCTGGGTGAGTCTCGGTGTAGGATGTCGGCAACTTGGTTTTGTCTCGTCAGTGTTCGGCCTTTCGGCACCTGGCTGCTTTCTGATCCACACGACTCTCGCTTCGTTTTCTGTCCGTGTCTTCTGGCCTGCTGGTTCCATGAGATGTACATGCTACATGGTGCAGCCAACAGCGCAGGGGCGCGGGCATGTACAAAATCCAGAGCGGCTCCGCGAAGCCCAGCAAAGCTCAGGCTTGAGAGATCGAAGCTCATCTCAAGTACAAAGCTCACCGAATCCCCACCCCCAGCCTGGCCCTTGAGCTCTTGAGCTCAGAGAGCACCGCACGGCTTGGCCGAAGGCTCCGTTTCCGGACTTCAGTACATGCAAGTCCCCTGGCATTTGAAGGTAGCTTGACTCGCCTTCTCTAGCCATTTTAGAGGCCAAGGCCTGTGTACCTTGCAATCAGTTTTTTGTGCTTGTGAGTAGCTGGAATTATCGGCATTGATCCATGAAGGGGAGGCTCGGAAGCGGGCGTTGGTTTTAGCGAACAGCATATTAATGTGTGCTCATGTCGCAGCATCTGATCCTTTAAAATGATACAAACGTGCCTCCATCACATGTCCTAGAATCGCTCCTACTTCTGTAGTCCAGATACGGCTCACCAGGCCTCGAGTCACCCGCTATTTCTCTGCCTCCTCCTCCTCCTCCTCCTCCTCCTCCTCCTCCCCCTCCTGCTACCACTAGGACCATTACCATGACTATGAGTCTGACTGCTCCTACAACAAGTCCTATTGCTCTTGTTATTGCTGTTGTTACTATAGCCGTTACTATTACCGTGACTATCGCTCCTGCTGCGGTACTGTTGCACTGTAAGTGCAATTATTACTAGTAGAAGTACTGATAGACAAAGCCACTACTACAGTATGGATTCTATCACTGCTAAGTATCCTCAGATTACTCTGACTGCTTCTCTGCGCCATCTCCCAAGTAATCAGTCGCAGAATTGCTACCTGCTACTTCACCTGCGGCTGACTCCTCGACACCTCAAGGCTGCCTGAAGACGTCACAAATACCAAAACTCAGCGAAATCATGTAGCAGCAGCAGCGGGATGCACCGTTTTCACCTGGGTGAGACATGTTTCAACATGCTTTGCAAGAGAACCGCGGACTCAAGCACTGCCAAGACATCAGGTGGCAAGGCTGGTGGGATGTACTTACTGCACACATGCACGAGATCCTTTTTCCAGATGCCTTCGGACTCTGCAAGTTGCACCGACGGAGCTCTCCTACGACGGCTGAAAAGAGTGCTGCCACCACCTGAATCATTTGACATGACATCCAAGTACTTCTTGCTGAGTCTTGCTGGGCAAACCTGCACAACATCCAAAACGAAAGCCGAGCTTCCTTAGACCTCCGTGGCCACGCACAAGGCGTAGGTGGACCGGGTCCCTTGGCACCTGTGATTGGTGAAAGGAATGGCGACGGGGCGACACGGACCCGGATGCCGTGGCACCTCTCCCCATCCTCGCAGATGCGCCAGAGTCCCTCGGGGCAGCCTGCGCCAGTTGCGGACAGGAATCTACTTGGAGTATGTCCGGGCACCTTGAGGCCCTGTGTTGCTCTGTAAGCCACTTTGCTGACTAGATGTGCGGAGCTTTAATTGGCCTGCGAGCGACCCTTCTTGCCAGCCTTCAACAAAGTTGTTCTTCGCCATGTGCTTCAAGTATCGGGTGAAGTCGCAGTCTCAGTGTTTGCACGCTGGAGTCGACTATAAAAAATATGTTAGGAATCAGCTGACCCTTTGAGGGCCAAAGCTGCTTCGAAAGCAGATTGGGAAGCAGCACTAGAACTCGCCACTAAGCAGACCCGTGCACCCTTACGGTCAGTCTGCTTCTCATCGTGTACTTGTGTAGTGTAGCTGGCTTTCAACTCACAGCTCACAGTGGGACAAACCGAGTCGACCAGTGTTTTCTGTCGGAGCAGTAAATGCGGCTGAATCACTGCCGCGCTTCTCCTGTTGCCAATGCAAGACTTCAGCACGGTCTTGTGCACTGAGAAATTATCTACTCTGGCCGTGCCGGCAGACACTGAAATCTGCAAGCAGCCTGCCCGCCTTGTTCTTCACACCCATCAGCGAGGTGTACACCGCTGAGCACTTGTAGCCACCGACTGGGATCTTCTTCGACCGCTCTTTGCAGGTGCCCTGGACCGCGCACCGGCTCGGCAAGTTGCAGCTTCGGAAGGGTCTGTGTGACATTCTTAGTTCCTGGACGATGTGGTCATGGGGGCTCATGCCAAACTGAGACCACCAGGACCGCTGGGTTTTGAAGGCACTGGTTCATGAGGGTTGAATTCTGATGAAAGCTTGCATGGCACAGCGGAGGCAGAAGTGGTAGCAGCCTAGAAAAACACCGCTGACCAGGTGCGCCCCCACAAGGGCTGAGGAGAGAAGGCTCTCGCACCAACCCTTTGCTTTTCTACGTTTTGCCAGTCGGCCCCGCTAAACGTTCATGACACCGGTGCAACCGGAACTCCAAACCAATCGTGAAACCTCAAGTCAAGAGCACCGCATAGGACTCTGCTCTCCGACACAATGTTATAAGGGGCAGAGACTCCTGGCCTCCAGGTACCTCTTGGCCACCTTATCCTGCAGTGCAAACCCACATTGGCATACAGCTATATTATAAAATACAGCTGCAGCATCAGTCGAGGCGAGGAAACACTCGGGACACTACTCATCATTAATATTCAGTACAAAACACACACAGCACCATAAGCCGCCATCAAGGGAATGATGGTAACAGATACAGGAAGCTTGCAGCAGCACTGAAGCACCGCACGCAAAAAAACAACTGCTTGTTAACGGCAGCAGTTGGAGTCAGCATGATCATATCCTAATGTCATCACAATCATCATCATCATCCTCATCATCATCATCATCATCTGCCCAGAATCAGCAACAACATCAGCGTCGACACTGACAAGCACATACGAGCACACTCGCACACACACACACACACACACACAAACCATGATCAAGCCCATCATCATCACAATCAGCATCATCGTCGTCCTATAGAAGGTGCTTCCGACGCCACTCCACGGATCAGGTTCGGGAGCCCTCAAGGCACCCGTTCGGCACTTCGAAGCATCTATTGCACATGGTCCCGAAGCACTCCAAAACATGAACCAAAGCTCCATGGCCAACAGTAGACTGCAGTGCAGCATAGTAGAGTATAGTATATCATGGTAGCTGATACTATAATACACAGTACGAGGCGCTGTTACATTACTCATGAAGCTGCTGGGAACCAGTTTGGGGCTCAGGTGAGAACGCGATCCCTTTAAAGTCGATTCCGAATCTGATGGGAACCCGGGCTCTGATCTGCTTTGAGGATAGCTCGTGCAGAAGATGCATAGGGTTGTTACTGCCTTGCAGAAGGGAAAGCCACCAAAATCAAGGTGAATCTCAGCCCGCGCTTGTCTACCGCAACGCAACGACGCAAAACGTCCAGGGCAGCTTGCTGCCGCTCCTTGCCCTTCTTGCTGGAGCCTCCGGCTGCTCTCACCTGAGAACGTAAAATAGAGCATGTCGTAGCATACTATCGAAGCCTTGGCAGAGAACTCTCTCCAACAGAGCCTAGTAACTTTCTGCCTTATAAAGTCAGCAACTGTAGCATACTGCAGCACCCTACAATTGTACAGTAACATACTATGCTGAAGTTACAGCTGATCACAGCGTTCCGTAAGGCAAGACCTGTGACCATGCTTCCAAGTATAATAGCTTCTTTAGACATGACCGTTCGAAGTTTCGAGAGGTTCGGGAAAGGATGCTTGAGGCTGCCGACATCTGTTTCGGTGCAGGCGCAGGCTTGACCGCTGTGACCCCCTTCAGCCCAGGAGCTAGCTCCGACCTTGACCACGCTGCCTCTTCGCCCGGACCTCCACCACAAGCCTGCAGACATGAGGGCTTGGACTGCGGCCCGGGTACTGGGACAAACACGACGATGCAAGAGCAGCCATGACTTGTCTGGCACGTAAAAATGTGGCGACATATGCACCGCAGAATCAAGCCATTCACCGGAAACATGAGAACCTGATGAAGAAGGATATCATACATGCATCAGTATGTCGAGCAGCCTCAGATGCACCGAAACGACCCTCAACATTTACCTGGAAGCCTCAGGTGTCGACATGGTACAGAACCGCGCCTGTGTCGCCAGGACCATAGGAGAATTGGCCGGAAGATCGTTGCCCTCCTGGAGACAGTGACTCCTAGATTGCACCCGGTCTCTTCGGAGAGCACCGCACGCCGCATCGGCCGGCATCTATGACACTGTGACAAACTAGCATCTTCAAGCGCCCGGCGGTCCCTTGCACTTGCCCGTTCCGCGAGCTCGAGCTTCTGCTGATCCTGCCAGGCTAGGTCTTGCACCAGGAGCTCTCCGACCCGCTGCGACCTGCGACACTCTGCTCGCCTGAGGACTTGTGGCTTTCTTGATCTTCCTTTCCTCCATCTCCATCTTCACGATGTTCGTCTAGGGAAGAGCTGGATTTATCACGATTCCCACTGCGGAGCTTCTGGAAGCTGAGAATTAAAGAGCGACGGGCTTGAAGGAGAAGTTGCAAACATCCATTGAAACCAGATTATGAGCCGAGCCACAATGAGCGCCCGCTTCATAAGTTTCACTGCAGCCTCGTCCTTCCGGGGCCAAACGCTTTCTCTCCAAGCTTGTCTGCTCGTCAAACAGGGTGTCGATGTTTAGGCGACATCCCTCGTGCTGCAACGACGAGATGCCAAGCATTGATGCATGTAGGAATGAACAAGTGACGGTTTACATAAGGTTGTCGCACAAAGTGGATTTTGCATGTACATCGTCCTGCTCGCATGTGAGATCCAGGCCGCCGTAGGCGCCCTTGCCTAGGTGCACAGTGTACAATCAATGCTGACACGAGCAGTCTGCTATTGAATCCACCACTCCACTGTCAACAAGCAGTGCACTGTCATGCAAAGTGCATGTCTGCGTTTGAGCGGCACTCGGAGCTGCAATCCTCCGCGTCACAGAGCGCATCGATCACACCTGCGCGGGGGGGCCCGCAATTGCAAAGTGCCCGGCGGCCCACAGCCTCTCTGCCCAGAACTCCCGAGCCGCGAGTGCCTTGCAGCTGGTAGGCTCGCAGACCCTCCAGGCCAATTCCCAGGCGGAAGATGCACTTCTTGCCTTGCAAGCTCTGCTTCGCAGCATCGGCAACGCTCCCAACTTAACGGGGCGACTTCAGCCCGATGGATGGGCAGAGCAGACCATAAGTCACAGTGAATTTCACGCCCACCAGCCGCTTCAGTCCCAAAAAACATGGAATCAAGGATGGATCTAACGGGAGAAGGCTTCTCATGAGTGCGAATACCTCAATGTGACCTGCTCTGAGTTTCAGCAGCCCGAGCCATGACTGGAAAAATTGCATTCCAGCCCGGAGACAATTGACCTGCTTCGCCATGGCCTTCTCCTTAACATGAGCTGCGACTCGTGTGTCACCGCGACCTGTGACCTGCACTGTTCCCGCCTTCACATCGTCGACAACGTTTTCCACTGTCGTGTCCTGGGCCACACGTGACGCCGTTGCGAAAGCATTCGACGCCGAGACGAGATTGGTCCTCCCCATGCTCTTCCTCCTCATCGTGCTCCTGTGCAGGAGGGAAGCCAGAGAGCCGGTCTGGCTACGAACGTTCAGCGTCCTCGACTGCCACGGCTTCAGAACCTGTAGAAACCGGAGGTGCATGGAAGTCGTCGTCGAGAGCCGTGGTCGAGGTTGTAGTTGTGAACGTTGCAAGAACCGACTCGACTTCCTGCATGGCTGGCAAATGGCAGAAGGGAATGCAGCTTTTCAATTCAAACAGCGCTCTCTGTCCTTCTCCACTTCCAGGTCCAGAACTGTTGTGGTGGTGGTAGGTGTTGTGCTCTCAGTCATAACCGACTCGACTTCCTGAGCACGACGACTCCAGCTTTTCGATTCCACTACGACCTCGAGCTCCGGTAATGACATGACTGCCATCAACGTGCCCTGTCCTTGTCCACCGCAAGTTCACGTGCACGGACCTTGCCAGCATCCTTAGCCGGACTCTTCTTGACCCTCTGCTGCACGGAAAAGCTGATGTCCCGGCGTGAGTCCTGCCCTCGTTCGAGTGTGGAAGCGTGAAAGCAGACAGCATTAAGCCGAACCGAGATACTGGATCGCTGATGATCATTCGCTCCTGCGGAGAAAAGCGCATGCTAGCGTAAAGGACTCGAGAGGATTCTTGAGATGAGGTTGCCAATGTCACGACTCCCTTCAACACTGCCCGACCTTGGGAGCGTCCGTCTCCTTCGCAACCTTCATAGCCGGAATCAGCTACTGGCAGCCCAGCATGTTCCCGCCATGGCTGCGGTATCTGAGGCTGCAGACTTGCAACCCTCCAGTCCGGCCTCCATGCTGAGCTGGAGAGTAGCCAATTGATAAAACCCGGCACGCTTAGCCTGAGACGTGAAGCTGAGATGCGCGCAGGCTTACGTTTCCGCGACATCTGCTATACGGCTATACGCACAGCCTATGGAACTCTTCCAGCATGTCCGGCCTTGTCGAAGGGCACTACGGCTGCCTTGGGGGGTGGCCGTGCTCGTGCGATGCTACAGGGAGTCCAACGAAACATGACGGCAGGACACTCAGCCCGGGGCAGGAATCGGATGAATCGGACCCACTTCATCGAATGTTATCCTCTTGGTGGCGGTGCCACAAGAAGCATAGCCCAGTGCCTGGTGATTCAAAAAATCGACACGGCACCGTCTGCTCTCGCCTCGCTCGAAAGTCGAGTAAAAGCCTCCACGAAGTACTGTTGCTTCACCTCCAACGTCGCCTGGAGCTCTGCTTCCGGATCAACACCTGGAGGTGAAGCAAGGACCAAAGATCCTAACTACTACTGCTACTGCTACTGCTACTGCTACTTTTACTTCTACTACTACTTCTACTACTACAACTACTACTGCTACTACTACTACTACTGCTACTACTACTACTACTACTACTGCTACTTCTACTACTACTACTACTACTACTACTACTACTACTACTACTACTACTACTACTACTACTACTACTACTACTACTACTAGTCCTACTGCGACTGCGACTGCGACTACGAACTACTACTACCACTACCACTACCACACCAACTTGCCGAATAGCCGTAAAGATGGTCGATGTGAAAAAACTCCTTTACATCGTCCATGTTGAGCCTTGGATTGAGCTGCTGCACGTTTAGGGCTCACAGCTCGCTTTCAATGCAGCTCGGGCCAGGCAAGCATGCCGTGATAGGAAAGGTCTCGACCGAGATGCAAGTAGTAATCAAAAGACCATTCAGGATGTCCTTCCGACCTTGTGTCCTTGATTTTCAGTGTCCTCAGTGGCAAAGGCACAGTAAAGAACCGAGTTCGGCTGCATGGATTTCGCAAAGAGCATGCTCCAACCAAGCATCACCCGGCGCTTATCCGTCCCAAAAATGCTACCTTGGGCAAGTCTGCGTCTCAGTTCAACTAGACCATCTCACCTGCAGCTCAAGCGCAACTGCCGCAGTCCTTCACCATGATGTGAAATTTGATCGTGTTGCCTGGCACGACGGCAAACAATTCTACCACGATAGTAAGGATCGTGTCAACACTGCCACAGCTGCAAGCGCCTACTCGCAGTGCGAGATTCTCCTGCACACAGTCTGCTCTTGCCAACATTGCGACATTGAACCTGAACGAAACTCCCAAGTTGCAGTAAAACCTTGAACACCTTGTGCAATCAAAACTCCGAACCGCGCATTGTGCACAGTGGAACCCAACCCTTCGTGTATCATTCGGACACCCCGAATTGCTGGAAGTGAGAATGGATTACACGCACCAGCAGGGACCCAATAGCGGCGCTTGCAAAATTAGAGCAATGCTGCCAACAGTAGTACAAGGCCAGGTTTACAACCAGTACTTGGAGTCGCGCCAACATGAGCAAATGTAGTTGTTGACAATAGTGTGTCCATATCTCAGGCTGTAGGTTCGGGGCTTGAGCATAAAGTGTTGAACTACGATTTAGAAATGAGCGCACGTTACTCATTATTCATCCGTCGCTCCCCCGACATCAATCCTGCAAAATTGAACATCGTTCGAGTCCAATTTCTGTGTCTGCGGATTGAAAGCCGTATCACGGCCGTGTGTCACTGCTCACGCAGACTTCTTAATGTTGCAGTGGGTCCTTCTCCACGGCTTCACGGATCGCGAAGATCGGGTAGACCAACGCCAACAAGCGTAGAAAACCGAAAGCAGCCATAACAAGCTGCGAGTACCTGCAACATGTTCCACCGCATGTACGAACGAATCTTCTCGCTTCTAGCTTTCTCAAAACCGCAACTGAATATACCGCATAACATCCGTTTGTGCAGATCGAACTAAACGCCGACAGCAGCGGGGAAAGCTTGCACAATCACAGTGCCATCGACTGCTTGGTGCAACCAAGATGCTGGTGTACGAGAATTCAACCAACGGACAGTCGTCGAACAGAAGCAGAAAATGCTTGCAGAGCCAAAACCGACAAGTGTTTTCTTGTCCTACCTGTCTGATGTTGCCACATGTGTAGTTGCAAAATGCCCAGTGAAGCGTGTTCCTGACTGTCCAGGCATTGCCGGCCAACCCGCCGTCGAAGAACATGCACTGATATTGCGATCTGAGGACCCCTGCCATGATGCAGAGAGGGCAGAATGCTCGTTGTGTCCACAACCACGCCGCCCTGCTTGATGAAACCACGAACTATGCAAACGTGTTCTTTTGGCAGACACAAATTCGGAATGCCAGCGCCTCATTGTAGCCCTCGGGGCTTTCACAACAATGCACGACCTCAGCGACAGCGTAAGCTATTTGCTACAAGCGCAATGCGTCATCTGATCATGCCTTCATTGCATATCATGCCATCACTCAGCAGTTTAGCTGCTTGAGTTTCGGGCACCCATGGCGACACATTTGCAGTGGAGCGCGATTGTAAACGTCGTTCTTTGCACCGAATCTGCTGATCTTATGGCTGACTGTACGGTCAGAGACCTTCAGGACACACCGCCTTTTAACACGATGGCCCAATTACTACATTCACATCGGTTGCAAATCACCCTCCATGTGTTCAACCATGCAGCAATGTTGTGTATTTGCACCATATCTTCTGACTAGTTGCTAGCTTTCGATCAACTACCACACCATTTTTGGAAAGTCTTGCTGATCCATTGGTGGTTTCGGACTTGCTTCGAAAAGAAAGAACCAAAACATGCCGAAAGAAAGGAAAAAAGGAAGAAATAAACAACGGAATTAAGTAAGAACGACAGACAGACAGAAGAAAAACAGAGACAGACAGAGAGAGAGAGAGAGAGCGAGAAAAAACAATTTGTATGTATAAACAGAAGCAGACAAGCAGAGACCGTGAGAAAAAGAGAACATGACAAAGAGAGACCATGAGAAAGAGATAAAGAGAGAAAGAGCGAACGAGAAAAAGAGCAAGCAAGAGGAGAGAAGCAGAGAGAAAAAAAAAGGGAAACCAAGAAGCAACACAACGAGAGAGAAAGCGAGAGAAAGTGGGAGGAAGACATCAGAAAGAAAGGAGAAAGAGAAAGCGAAGATAAAAATTAAAGATCAAGAGAAAAAGAAAAAGATCAAAAGACACAGATAAAAAAAATGTTAAACATAAACAGAAAAAGAAAAGAAGATGCAGTTAAATAAACAACAGAAACATCAAGAGGAGAAAGAAGGATAAGGAGAAAAAACAGAAAGTGAAAGAGAAACATAACTACAGAGAGATGGGAAAAAGTGGGAAGGTCCTTGAACCTATCTTCTCACCTCTGCCTCGCTGCACTTCTCATCCAGGAGACGGAATTCTCTAAGGGTCCACGCATTGAGTCACTGGGCACAAACTGTAACAATACATTCAGCATGCAAACAACAATAATTCCCTTTCCGGCTTTAGACGGTGCTTGGAACTAGTCGCAACTGATGTCACCCTTAAAATACAATTCCCTCTTTTGAGCTTAGTTTCCGAGTAATCGCCGATGGCGAAGATTCACCACCGTCCAAGAGCTCTTGGCTCAAGTCGAGGCGGTAATAAGCATTGGCAAGGTTTGGAACATGCAACAGTCATGCTTTGTTTCAACAATTCTTCTTGGATTTCTAGTCATTTGTTTGTTCGCCAAGCTCCATGAAGGGATCTGTTCTCTTGAATTGGTTTTTTTCTGTTTTTTCAGTTCTTTCTTTCTTATTTGCTCGTCCAAACTCCGAACATGTCCGAGATTGGGGTAGACCAGGTTGTAACTACTGTGTAGGACAAGGGGAACTTATGAACGCCGGGCGCGGCGTTTCACGCGGTAACTAATTATTACTTAAAAAGAAATTATCGGCGCGCGCTCGCCGCCAGCGAACAAAAAACGCGTTTTTCCGTTTTTGCTTTCCAACCTCACTCAAACCTGCTTTCCCAAACCCAAAGTCTTTTTCAGTCGAGCGTGACCACATCCCTCATTTCGCCTGCCGCCTCTACCTGTACACGAGGTGGGGCAGGGCTTACAAAAGGCTTCTTAAAAGCAGACATGTCTTTCCAAGTGAACCCCCCCGCTCTCTCTCTCAGACTTGCGAAGCTGGCCACACACCGAAAACATGTCTTGTCCGCCGAACCAGTGCTTCAGCTGGAACAAACGGACGTGAAAACGCATGATCTGCTCCATGCGAGGGCCTCTGTCGTCTGAAGAGCCAACTGTGTGGAAGGGACGCTTGCCGACCACTTTGCGGAAGGCAGCGAAAAAGCCATCAACCTTCTCGGAACCTCCAACCCTTTCCTGCTCTTCAAACCGGTCGCCCACCCAGACACGCACCGCATTCTCTTGGCGAATTCTGGGTGCGGGGCTTGTGTTTGACACAAGTGTGAGACAAACGCAAATCACCGTCCTCCAAACTTCCATCAAGCCAAGGACTTGTAGGCTTTGGCTCCGTCTGTGACAAACGGAGCCAAATCCCAGCACAGGCTCATCAGAGTCCAAAAGTAGAGGAAAGTGGTCCTCCTCCACCTTGACCTGCCTGAGTGATTCTGTAGCCAAGACGCTGCAGCCACACCAAGCTGGACCCTTTACGCTGCCGCATGAACCTGAGCCACAATTCCGTGAAATCTGCCCACAGAACGGAAGCCTCTCCTCCTCTTGCTTTTGCCACATTGTGCACTTCGATGTCCCACCTCTCACAGGTTAACGAGGCGCTTCCTTCACATGTGCAGGTGATTTGTTGCAACTTGGTTGTCGTCAAGCAGTCCAAGCGCACATGGCAGCTATTGCTCAAGAGCGGCAACGTCTAAAAGTGTGAAAACTTTGGAAAGGTTTTCAGCTGTGTATATGTGAAGAACTCTGTGCTAGGTGCTGTTGGACGTCTGGATCTGCAGCACTCTTTGTAAGAAGCTGTGGCAAAAGGCTGTACAACTAGAAGACAATTGGCCCGAAAGCATCATTAGCGAACGCTACGTTATAGAATCCAGTGCATAGAATTATAGACTCATAGCGCGAAGTGCATCTCATTATGAAGTATATGGCAATGCCGAGATCGATATTTTTGAATCTAGGAACTTGACTCTACGTGTTTCACTCTGCGTTCCTCACTCGATGTTGTCAAAGCTGTCGAAGCATTGTATAAACTTAGATATATGAAGTCAACTGCATACGGCGAAGTGCATAGAGTCAAGTGCATCAGTCAGGTGAACAAGTATCTAGAGTCATGGTGTCAAGCTGTTTCAGTGCAGCCAGGTCCGGTGGTCGGTGATCGTATTATCAGCTTCGAGACTTCAATCCCGGACCCGTAGCTCCACCCTAATCTTCCATCATGAACAAAAATGACCGAGCTTTCGTCCGCATGCGAAGCTATCATGCAGGCGCCTTGGCTCGAACAACCATGGAATCAATGCTGGCAACATCGCGAGCAGGTCCGTACTGCAGTTCGAAGCTTCTTCTTGCATTTGTCGGAGCTCTGAATGCGCTCGCTTCTTCCAATCGGCGTTTGCGACCTTCCGTGAGCTCCTTGTTGTGCTGGAACTTGGTTGCATTGTCTTGATAGACCCGGAACGTTGTCGCCGGCTGCATCTCCACGTCCTCGGGCGCCGCGTGCACTGGTGCCCGTAAGCCTCCGTCACATTCTCCACGTGCTCGCCCCATCCGCCGCCGTCCCGAGCCACCTTTCCCGCCACATCCTTCTTCAGCGTTTGAATGGCGTTGCGGCTGCTCGGGTCCTTCTGCCGATGCACCACGCCTCCCGGCAAGGCTCCTTCCAGGCCTTGGAATTCGTTGCCCTGGTCCGTCGTGACCACATAGTTCCTCTCGTCTTGCACCAGATCGGGAATGAATTCTGCGGCCGGTTGCGTCACCGTTTCCGCCCGCTTGTCGGGCAGCGCCTTCGTGGCCAGGTGAACACGTCCGTGACCACCAGCCCGAACTTGTTCCGGCTCCGGGTGTTCTGGAAGAATTCGGCCCTTCGGCCGCCGACTTGCCCAAACTTCGCGGCTTCGGTGCGAGCACCTGTCTTGCCACGTCGCTCCGCAGCGCCGCCTGGGCCCGCGCACTCGTGAGGTCCCGCCGCTCCGGGAACTCCCGTCGAGCGAGCTTCCTGGGGTCCCTGACGTTGAAGTCCCGGGCTAGCCGCCCGAGCAGCTCCATCGCTCCGTCTTCCGCCATTTCTAATCCGAGTCGCCCTTGCTCTTCTTGTTCTTCTCTAGGGCGAAGCCGATCTGCTCGGTCGTAGAGCTGCCGCTCCACGGCGTCGAAGGTTTGCTGGAGCTCCTCCTCCGGGATGGCCCGGACGTTCTCCTTGAGCGCCCGGTCGCTGAGGTTGACGAAGCCAGAACCAAAAATGACCTCTCCATTGTCAGAGGAGGCCCTTCCAAGCATCCTAGAGAACAGCTTCCGGAGTTGGCTCCGTAATTCGAGCGTTCTTTTGGCCCATGTGTTGCAACGATGTCCGACGTGGAAGCACCTCCTGTTCCTCCCCCTCAAAGAGTGGAGTTGCCGCAGGAGTGTAGAACGTCCTTCGTAAATAAATGGTCCTTCCTCGTCTGCCTGTTGCTAGGAGACTTTGTCCGCCCGTCTGGCCCGCCTGCGACAGGAGCGTCAGGATGCAAAGGTGTGGTATTGTCTGCGTGTCTACAAGATGTCTTGATTGTCTTTCGTCCAAAGCAGGTAGAAGCGCGCAGAGTCGCTAAGATCCTGAAAGCAGAGCAAAAACGACTTCGCAAGGCATGGTTCTGTCTGCTGCCCCGTCGAATGTAGATGT